AATTTATATGTTTTTTTCTGTAAATTATTTGACAAAAACTGGCTTGCGAATTTGTTGTTGTTGTTTTTAGTGTTTTTTTTTTTTGCGCCAACTACTAAAAAGTGGGTCAAATATTGCGTATGACGTCGTCGGATTTGGTTTCGGATTCGTTGCTCGACCGGTTTTCACTTTCAAACATCGAACATCGGCGGCGGGGCGTCTGCAGCAATTCCCTCAACGAATTTGGCGCTTAATTGAAAATTCATTCAACTAAATTCCGCAGCCGCTATGCGGCTTAGGCCAACTTTTAGCTTGGCCTAAACCGTGGGCTAATGTGCATTTTATTAATAAATTGTTCGTTTCATTAGGCTGGCCGATTGTCTGGCCATCCGACAGACTCCACAGGGCAACTTTCTCCCCATCTGCATCTCGTGGATGGTCTTTTAATAAATAGTTTGCCCTTTGGTTGCGCTTTCTATCTCCTGCCCATGATCATCATCATATGCAGCCTCTGCAGCCTCTTCCACATGCATCTGCATTTTCTGATACGCATTCAGATATTTTATTTGAAGCGTAAGCTAATTATGTTGTTTATGTTGTATAATATTTTGATATTCGGCCCGATCGAACATGTGTTTTGTTACATTTGCAATAAACTTCAAGGTGTGCCACAGCCCATGCAAATGAGAAGCTCTTAAGATGACATTATGATACGAGCTGATATCAAACTGCCCAGCCGCGAGGCGTGACTCAGGTGTTAATGTCGCAGTACCAGACTTTGTTTTATATAAACTATTACGCCGCCAGCCATTAGCGGATCAATTAGTTTGCATAAACAAAAACTCATTAGCAACAATTTCAAGTACGCACTTCAAATATTTGCTCGTTTTGTAAGCAATTAGACTGGGAAGTTAGAAACAGTTGAGTTGCAGCTGGTAGCAAATCAGATGTTTGTAAAGTTAGGGTATTCAAATAGAGGATTGTCGCTGATGCTCTACGGGCTCTGGAGACTCGATAGTTCTACTGCTAGAATATTCTTTGTAGTAATATTTCAGCTGCCACAGTCTAAGCACTCAACGGCGCACTTTGAGAACTTATATGGGAGCATATTCCAGTCCGCAACGATTATCGTAATAATTAAGAGAGAATGTTTTTGTATGTTGATATGTATGCTGAGCAGAGAACGGGAAACATCATGCTTCTCTGATAGGCACATTGAGCCTACGTGCGGCGATTAATTATGTATGGAGGTAGGATGGGGAACTTAGTCTGAGCACGCTCCGATAGGCACGCGCATGCGCAACATATTTGGAATATTTTGCGTTGTTTGCTTTTGCGATGTCGGGTAATGAAATGATTTGCACACATTGCGGCAAGTCTACAAAATTTGACAAGTGCTCTTTGTTTCATTTTAAAGAACAGAGACTATTTATACCCTGCACTCGTTGAAAATGGGAAATCAGGGCGTCATAGTCTTGTTCAATTTATGCAACAGGCAAACTATATTTATTTAAATTTTAAATAATTTAATTTAGTGTTGTATTATTTTTTGTCAGATGAAAACTTTGAATAATACTTATAAATTCAGATCAGTCGGGCATAGTAGGATCTCCCGACTGGAGCTTCGTTTCTTGTTAAATTAATATTCTTAAAAATATTCCGTGGAAAGAGAAGAACAGAAGGCTTGACTCGCATCGTGGATGAGTCATTTGTTCGTGGTATTGACCAACCCAGGGGGCCACTTAGAATGCATAGAAAATATCATAAAGTGTCAAATAAACTTACTGCTGTCATAAATCGTAATTACAATTAAAATATATTATTTGCACGACCGTCGCACTACTCACAGCGACAGTATGCAAATCGCTGTTGGCACCTTTTCGCACATGCATATCAAGTGGTTCCCCCCTCCCACTCTTCCGCCCTTCTGCTGGGAGAGCAACTGCTGCTGCTGCTGCACTTGTTTCAGCCGCGCCGAACAATATGATGAATGTTAAGTTGTAAAATGAATAATTTTTACCAACCACTCTATAGTTATGGAATTTTATTTACCTACGCTCTCACCTGACCTACCTGACTCGCCTGTCTGCCAACCACTGCCCCACCCTTCTCACAGCATTGGCGCGGATTTCGATAGCAGCAAACAAATAATAATTGGCATACGGATTGCAAGGGTAAGCGTGGATATTGCTTCTGGTTAGAGAGTAAAAACAAATAGATAATTCAAAACTGCAATCGCACGTATTTTATTTACTAATGCGTGAGAATTTTTCGATATCCATATACTATGATATAAACTGCAGCTGAGGAATTAATGTCATTCTTAATGTATATTCAATAGGCAGTCAGATATTATAAGGAAAAGCCTTATTTAATATCAGCCATAGCCTAGCTGATTTGGACTGGCCAACTGTCTGTCCAGAAGTATATTTGAATATGGAGATCTCGAAACCTTTGAGGGCCAGACGCTTGGCGGCTGTCGCTTGTCACTCTATTAAAAGTTACAAGTCTAGTCTTATTTTAGTTTTTTCTATTTATAATAGATTAGAGTAGATATTATATACTATATGGGTAGATATATATTACAAAATATTCCATTTGCCAAAACCAATTTTAATCATCAATTAACTAGTTTCCAAGTTAGTCTCTACTTTATATTTCACAGATCTTTAAAGGTAGATTCAGCGCTATGAGTGCCTAGAACTCGGCCTGCCTTTGATGCTATGTGCTATCTCGGCTATTTGATAAAGATGCTCTATTCATTAGATTTTATTTAAATTACAAATAAACGGCGATATTTAAAGATTTCATTTACAGTCTGTGAGCACAGCAACAACAAAACGAAAGGCCTGTCAGTTGATAGCAAACCGGTTTGCGACTCAAACTTTATGTCGCTCGTATGCTGAAGCTCGAACCACTTGAAAACAATAAATTAAAACGATATATTTACACTGTGTTTCACGTTGCCGCACGTTTCGTGCCCTGTGACTGCAATTTGTTGGGCGATTCGCTGTACACATATTTGCTGTTTCAAAAAATCATTTGAGCATCATTATTTATGTCCACGCCGGGTTCAACCGAGCACAAGTAAACGCATTTGCATAGCTCAGCCGGACTGACTCTGGCCCTGGCTAGCTTATCAATACAAATGACTGCAACAAGTGCAGCACTGCCGGCAGTCGCATAATATACAACTTAGACAAGAGTTTATTTGTAATTTAGTTCCCTGCTCCATTGCAGCTTATCACTTGGCACGTCCTTTGCTCAATGTCAAAGTCAAACTGTCTCCATTCGTCTGTTTGTCTGACGTTTAGATGGTAACTGGCTCAATCCAGTCTGGCATCTGACTGTCTCCATAAAGCTCAGCAAAGAATTGCTCGGGAAAGCCCTTGACGGAATGCAATGCCACTGATAAAGACTCTGAGTTCGTTTCAATTGAGACGCCTCCTGCTGACGTCGCTGCTGCTGCTGCTATTGCTGCTGTTCGTGTCAATCAACTCAGCTGCAGTGTCGCAGAATCACGTTTACCTCCACACTGACTGAGAGCGCAATAATAAATGCGTATGCAAAGCTATCAGCGTGCTTTGACATTTGCCGATAGTTGACGAAATAGTAAACTGGACAGAACAGACTCAGGTCATATGAGTGATTCACTAGATGATACCAAGGAAGCCCGATCAAAGGACATTGTTAGAATTATGGTTTATGGAAAGCTAAGTTTGAAGTAATTCAGCCTAATAAAAACTGTCACTGCAGACATTTTTTAGGATCTACTGATATCATAATCAACGGTAGCCAAATATTCAATTCAATCAAATTTAAAGTCGGACGCATGTTGCAAGGGTTGTTTAGGAAACTCAAGAGGCATTTCCACCGTCTGCTAAAGACATTGTTCATTCCGAATTATTATTCTGAAAACGTAAGGACTGCATATTTAATATATTATTATATCATTGCTGAAATTCCTATGAATTTAGTAAGTATTTAAAAATCAAATCAATGTGTTCCATGTCAAACTATTGCCTGTTATACTAAATTTGTAAAAAATCTGCAAAAAATAAATAATTTCCCAGTTGAAAATCAATTCGCTACCATCAGTATGTAATGAATTTATATAAAGCACAAGAAACTTTTTTTTTTATTTATTTTTTTTTTATATATAATGTAATAAGTACNCAAGTCTCTAGTACTTGAAATGCGTTTTTTACAAATTGGGGGAGAAGGGGGCGTGGTATCCAAAATCTGTAAATTACAAAATCTTTGTATCGATTAACTTTATATACAACGCAAATTTGAAGACTCCAGGTCTAAAAATGTTCAAATTAGGCTAAAAAAACAAAATCAATTTTTCGATTATTCTCGATAAAAAAGTTATCGGACGATTTATCGAAAAAATAAAGCAAACTCGTACTGCGTATGGTACACACGAGTATGCATGCCAAATTTCAGCTCTCTAGCTCTTATAACTTCTGAGATCGACGCACTCATACGGACGGACGGACGGACGGACGGACGGACGGACGGACGGACGGACGGACGGACAGACGGACAGGGCTATATCGACTCAGCTCGTCACGCTGATCAAGAATATATATACTTTGTGGGGTCTGCCACGCCTCCTTCTGKCCGTTACATACTTTTTCACAAAACCATTATACCCTGATTTCCCATTTTCAATGGGTTCAGGGTATAAAAAAAATAAAACAAAACGAATAAATATCGCGGACAACAGCAACAATTATCACAGAGCAGATTTTGGTTGGTATCGCTGAGATCGGATCTAGCTGATCTGGCTAGATCGGCTCGGCGTTCGACATCCCATTGAGGGCAATTTCGGTTAGCATTTGTCGCCCAGGCTTTTCGTAGAGTCGTCTTTCGATTTCGATTTCTTTTTTTCGTCGACGGTCCTAAAGCCAAATACCTCCGCGTAACTGGGCACAAAACTTGGCTTAATGCTTTCGCATGTGGGTGTCGTTGTAGCTGTTGTTGGTGTTGTTGCTGCAGTTGTTGTTGTTGTTGTCGTTGCTGTTGCTGGCAGCAGCGGCGTTGTTGCCTCACACAATGGCAATGTCTGTGGTCGCGATATTGTTGTTGCTGCTGCTGCCGTTGTTGTTGTTGTTGTTGCTGTTGTGGCAGCCTCAACGTCGGCTGCTGCTGTGTTGGCTCTTTCATGCTTATTGAATACATTAAACACGCTTGGATAGACAATCAAACACGACGACTGAGGTGTTTTCTGCAGCAGCTCCAAGGCAGCCTCATAGCTGGGCAAGCCAGAGACCAGGGTATACTCCGGCACTGGGTCCTCCGAATCGGGCTGCAATTTTAATGCCTCAATATCAATAATTGTGCACTGCGATGAGCTGTTGGCATTGTTGTGATCTAAGCAGAGAGAGAGCGAAAGAGAGAGAGAGAGAGAGTTGTTGATTAGTTAACTGATTTAATTTACAGTTTGTGTGTTGAGCCAATCGACCCTATTGTATATAAGATATCAACAAACTATATTGTATTCCGAGTCAACGATTAATCTAATCTAATTTGTGGTATTTATGTTTGTTTATTTCTTCCTGTATCAGCTATATCATTTTATTTAAATTTAATTTATTATTGTTTATTTTTGTCCGAATTGAAACTCGAACTGTTTTTGTATTCCTCGTATGCCTTTGTGCCATTTCTTGCTGGCACAGCAATCTTGACAATCAAAGACCAAGAAATGAGTCTAAACAAATAAAAACGCAAGGTAATGAATTATTCTGTGCCAATTCTCTTGAAGGTCGACACAGTAAATAGTAATAAATAAGAACGAGAATAAAAATGTAGACAACTCGGTCAGGTGTGCCGAAATCTTTTGAAGCTGAGAAATTTGCATACCGCTATTTTCCAGAGCCAATAATAGTTAGCAAAGCTATTTCAGGTCAACAAAGTTCAACTTTGATGGCCTCGCTAGCTGGTTAGCAGCGTTGTCTACCCAGTTATTAGTTATTAAATTTCGATTACTTAATCACTCGCTTAAGCCTCGACTCCATTCATGGCTGTTTTGTAATTGAAAGTCATTTCTGATTCATTCATTAGCTGCTCCACATTTTGGCACGTAGACTGTGTAACTTTTCGTGCTAATCGTGAATGCCAGCAAAAGACGGTAGGGCCTCACTAACTAAAATAGTCAACGGGTGATAAGGCCCAATCGTAAATAGCGTCATATCAACATGCGATTGCTCTAGACTGGAACTCTTTATGTTTGCTCTTTGTTGTCGTGGGCATACTTACAATTGCGCTTCCAGGTGCGAAACTGATGGTAGAGGAAGCAGGAGCAGATGCAGAAGACCATCGAGATCAAGATTAGCGTGAAGACAATGCCGATCCACACCTCGTTCATGAACTTGTCGTACTCGAGCTGCTGCTGCAGCTGATCCACGCTGCTGCTGTCCAACACCACATGATTGGCCGCGAAGTCGAAGTCCATGCTCACTTCACTGGAATTCTGGAGAGTGGCTTCGTTCAGTTTGTGATGTTTCAACTGTATCGAGTTGAAGATGGTGGCTCCGATCTTCTGCAGAAAATCGCTATTGGCCAGCGCATCCAGGGTGCTGATCGTGGGCGTCGATGCCTCGGCGTCTGCTGCCGCGTTCCTGCCGTTCTCCAATATATGCTGTGCGGCGCCGCCGAAATGATCGAAATGCAGATCATGCGACAGTTCGTAGTTTAATGCGCGTGGCAGGCCCTCCATTGTAACCTTTATATTTGAGTCGCCTTTTGTGCTAGTTCTATCTTTAAATGCTCACAGATCACGTTCCGTAATTACGAGCGTATCTTTCTCTGCGGCACACTTTCACTGAATGCGTATCGGTATCTCTATCTGTATTTATAACTTGGCTTCGTTTTATATTTCTTTCTTTTTTTTTGTTGGTTTTCGTTTCGTTTCAGCTCTCTCAGCGCTGCACACACGTCCGGCGGTGGCTACGTCTGCAAACAAACTGATTAGCGCTCAGCGCGTAGAGCAGCCGACAGCACCTCGGCTCGATCGTCAAGCGTGCTCCGTTAAACTTCACTCAAGAGCGAGAGAGAGGGAGAGCGTGAGAGCACGAGAGTTGCCAGCTACCTGGCAAAAGATGCGCTCAAAAGTGCTCAATGCGCTCAGCAAACATATCTTGCTCATTTGCCGCTTCGCTACGCATCGCTGGCTGTGTGTCTGAGTGTGTGTGTGTGTGTGTGTGTGTGTGTTTGGGAAATATACTTCTTATTCTTCAGCTTCTTCTTGTCCGTGTAATGCTCGCTCAGTTCGTCTTTTGTAGCCCAGACAATGCCTTCGAATTATGGGCCCATAATTGGCGTTACAAAGCGGCGCACATGTTGCCTGCTCAGTTCCAGCTTCAGTCGCAGTCGCAGTCGCCGTTGCCGTCCTCGTCGTAGTTCCAGCTCTAGTCCCAGTCGTACTGTTATGGAGCATCGATCTTTATTTGAGTTCAGTTCAGTTGGGCTGTGTTCTTCGATTTCGTTTTGCCTGGCAAATGACATATCTCTCCATTTGTATTGTTGGCTGAGAAAAGAAATTATTGCCGTAGGATAACACACGCGTGTGTTTATGTGTGTGTGTGTGTGTGTGTGTATTTATGTCGGGGCCTGAGACCATTTCTCGTTTTGTTGCTGTTGCTGTTGCTTCTTTTTAATTTTTTCGTTCTTTTTTTGGTGGGGTTTTAAATTACAGCTACGTGCAGATATCTTATTTCGGGACTCGACGGAGGAGAGCAATTTGTGGGCGCACAAGCCTAAGCAACAGTCGATTCCTTATGCATTCACCTGGTGGAAGATCAAGTTTTGTTAGGCTGCTGTCAGGTAAGAGACACAGCAATTGGTATACAGAAGATGCTCAGTTTGGAATCGGAATTGATGGATGTGTAATTATAGGCCGAAAAAAGGGGACAAGATAATGCCAGACAGTTGTAACTGACGACGCTGCTAACGTGTAATATGCACTTCGACTATCTGCTAAGTATGACGATTTGTAACATTTTCATACATCTGTTAATTTATATTAAATATGTACATAAATCAACACTGATCATCATTGGCTATTAGCTGACTATCTGTTGCCATTTTTCATGAGGACGTCGCCTCGATAGGAAAACACATGCACTCACAACAGAGCCGGATAAGATCAGTTTGCCATGCAGCGGAATTGCTTTTCAACGAGGCTTCTCTATGATAAATTCCATTGCAATTTATAAAGGGTTGCCTGCTGCGGCTGCTGCTGATAATGATGATAATGATGAGCTCATCGAGTGCACAAAAGAACAGTCTTATCATGATCAGCTAATCTTTACGGCCAGCGAAATGAATCAGCACAACAAACGAAGATGTTGATGATGATGCGGCCCTTCCGCCCCTCCAGACCCAGACGATTCTCTATTACGAGGGTCAGATTAGCAAATCTTGTTGGGTAGCATCTTCTGTCACAATTGATGACGTTTTTCTTCCCCCCTGCTTTTCAGCTCATTTAATGCTGAAACTTGCGGCTCTTGCGGGCAACCACATGGGCTCAGACTTTGGCCAGGTACTCGCCCTCTTGTCTGTTCCTAAACCTATTGCAGTAATTCTTTTTTCTGTTCTTTTTTTTTTTTTGCCCAACTGTCACACGGTAAGACAATGGGCAACTAATTAGGTGAGCTAAACCCGGTTACCCCATCGTGTCAGCCATAAAGCCCCACAGCTATAGAGTCCAGTAGCTGGTGGCAAGACGTGTCTTTGTTGCGGTGTCTTCTGCCGCTTTCTTTTGGCTTCTCGCTTGACCCTTGGGGGCCCAGTTGACCGAGTTGTGTTGGCATGGCCCAACTGGCTTTAATTTAAGACCCTAATGAGCCGTTTAGGCATTCTGCATTCTGGCTTTGTATTCAATGCCGACTACTGTGCTGAGCCCCACAAAAATTAATGAGTCCACGGTCAGACGGAGACGGAGACGGAGACGGAGACTGGGTGCATGCGGGTGATGGCACTGATAAAGCCGCTTAATTTTTCACTGACTATGCGGTCCAAGTCCAAGTCCGATTCAAAGCCGATGCGCTGCTTTGCATAATGAAGCCGGACCAACAAATTTAACATAGTTTATTAATTTTTCAGATATTTATTTCTCTCTTCTGTCTATTTCAATTCGTTTGTGTCGGGTCACTTAGCTATTGGCTGCAGTCTTGTCAAACGCTTCTGACATTCATAAATCGGCTTAAATTTGATCTTGAACAACGTATCTCATTCCCAAGCCCTGCCTGTTGCGCTTCTAGCTGTATTGAATGACCTTAAAAGCCTAAAGTGTGATTCCCTACAGAAATGAACCCAGTGTGAATTTCTTGCCACTTAACATTTGAAATTATTCTATGACGGCTGCTTCCTGATGTTCTTATAGGCATTTCCTGTCAGTCATTTGGAGCGTTGACTTATTTTCGCACATGTCGAAATCTGTGCTCGATTTCCGCATAATTACATGCCAGCAAATGCATTTCTCACACTCTAATTGAGTGATCAGCTGCAGCCCTAAAAAATCAATTTTGACCTGAGAAGAACTGCATAGATCTAGCATTGCTTTAACTCCTGTGGCGAGCTGTGCGCCATAAAGTCAGAGCGGACGATTACCCTAACGACGTCCTGCCAGGCCGTGGCAACTGGAAGCACTTGTTCGAATCGACGCAGCAGAGATCTGAGCAGAGCATTTTTCTGTTTTTGAAGCTCAGCAAGGCGCAGCAGCAGCGGACGACCAACTGAGCTGTGACGCCGGGAGGGATATATGAGGAATAACAATAATAATAACAACAACAACAGCAGCAACAGCAACAACAACAACAACAATTGCATAGGCAGGTAATTGCGCTGCAGTCGGAGCGCAGTGATGTGAAACATTTGTCATATGGACCGAGACGTGCCGTGAGATGCCCTGGGAAAGTTGTCGTCATCGTCTTCGACGTCTCGGTGCTGCTGGCACTGGGAAGCGTTGTGCCTTGTCTCTAATCTGTGATATAGGTCATGCAACCCTCAAGGTTCCGCGTAGGACCATGCGTCAAGCCCCCGTTGCCGCATGAGGTATGCGGCATGCGGCATGCGGCATGCCTTTGCATTGTCTTTTGCCTTTTGTGCAATGCTCTCTGAATTCGTAGAAATTACGCGTGAGCATGCAACGCTCGAGGCTATACAAAATAGCCTAGTCTATAGTCCTAGTCCCAGTCCTAGTCGTCGTCGTCGTTGTCGTCGTCCTTATTATGTTTCTGCATGATAATTCCCAGTGTGTGTCTCCTCTGTCTCGGCTATCTAACAAGTGCAGTTTGAGTGCCGCTTTCATTGCATGCACAATTAAAAACGCAGTTGCACAAAACAAAACAAGGCTCCAACTGGAGCTCTAAACGAAAACTTCCCCCTGAACCGAGCGGGACCCAACGTCAGTCCCGACTCTCAACCCATTCAATGTCAATGAACCGCAGCTGTAATGTCACACACAAACACACACACACACACATGTAATACACCTACCAAGTATGTTGACGTTCGGATTGAATGTTTTTTTCCTTATTTGTTTATGGTTTTGCCTGTCTCAGATAATCTTGGGGCGCGTTAGCTTTAGGTTCGTTGCGCTTGGCCAGTTCTTCCATGCCCCGAACCTAGGGCCCATGCCCATATATATGTGTATCTATATCTGTATATATTGTAGTACTTATGATGTTATTTCAATTTTATTGTAGTCTTCGCCTTCTCTGTCGTCGTTCTGGTCTGTCTCAGTCATAGTTCTCTACGATTTTGTTGGTTTATCGCTTCAGAGGTTCCTCAACAATTCATTGAACATTATTAGCACTCAAGCATAAATTTGTTCGACATTCTAGTCAGCTAAGTGGCTTTATAAGGTTGTTTTGTTGTTAATATATTTTTCTTGTTTTTCTTTTTTTTTTTCGTATAGGTGCAGCAAAACTTTGCCATATTGGGGTATAACTTTGATTGTTTGGGCAATTTAATCGATTTGTGGCTTAGGTGAAAATGCTGTAACGCAACATTAACAAATGCGTGGAGTGATTCTGCATGGGCGAACGACAGCTGCTAATCGCAGAGTTATACATAGTCATAAAGTAATCATATCTAGTACCGAATCAAAGTTATCAAAGTGCCCTAGCTATGAAAATAGAGCTCTTATCAGCTTAAAGCTGTTAGTGCTCAATAGGCAATAGGCACTCATTCGCTTGTTCGTTCTCATATCATATAAACTGTGTACACAACAACAAGATAACCTGAACACTTCCGAACTTCAAGCTGCTAAGACATACAAACGTATATTCTACAATTCGTTTATTATTCGATAAATTCAATTATACATTAATATTCTAGTTTGACTTGAATTCATGAGAATCGCATTCATTCTCATGAGCTCGAATCTCAGCAAATCGCATTCTTCTATGCGATTCTTATAAGCTCGATCGATGCTGAAAAATTCTTTTGTTTATATTGTATTAAAAATTAATCAAAACTAGCTATAAAAGCTACACTTAATATTAGTTAAAGACTCCGTTGACATTTTTATTTGCAAATATTATTAGAATAGTTTGGATATTAATCATTGATATCCGTAGAATCACGCTATGCTATCGCGTCAATGGTGAGCTGGAATAGCCAGCTAGACGTCTACAATAGAAGCCTGGTTTTATGGCTATGCAAATGACTACACGATTAATTAGAAATTTTAACAGTAGTCGTGCTATAAATCAACAATAAGCCGATTATTTAGAGATTGTGCGATTTTATCTCATTCGCTGTGCATCTAATACAATCTCTATTTATAGCCCAGAAATGCAACTTGTTTACGTGGGATGTTTTTATTAATTTTTCACGTTTTTTTTTGTTTTTTCTTTTGCTGATGTGCCATTTAAATTTGAAACTCGTTGCGTGCTTAATTAGTATAGTCCACGTGTGGAGTAGTCATTGAACTTTAGCTAATGAAACGAGTTTCGTAACCCCTCGTTTCAAAAAACAAAACAAAAAAGGCTGAGCTCGTGTACACCATTAGCAATCAAAGTGAAGTTACAACAAAACTTGTTATTTGTACGAAAAGTCATGGTTAATATAGTAAAAAGCGCCTCAATTAACAATTAACCCGAATTTCGCACTTGGCGCCGGCCTCTGACGACCCTAATTGACATATGAAAGCGCTGTGAGAAGTGAAAAGTTGTGACTGGCCAATCAATAAATGCATTTGATGATTGATTTTCATACTTGCGGGCGGAGGGTATGCTTGACTTGCCATTGGGAAATCTGTGGAATCAGCGGAGCGGCTTATCGCTGCGTTCTTATCGTCAGCTGGGAGGGGGAGGGGTGCTCGGGCGTACCGTAAAATGATATGCAAGGTGCTCGAGCGGCTGGCTCTACGGTTGGGTAATTCATCAAATCCATCAGCCATAAACTTTCAATTTCGAGAACCGTCCGACGCCTTGTCGGGCTTGTCATTATTGACATTACAAATGTTATTGATTGTACTCTAGCTACATAAGTGAGAGAGAGAGAGAGTGGGGCGGTCGATGGGGCGTTCATTTAGCTCCATTTCGTTTCACTTTTCCACGGGCTGCTTTTCTTTATTTCTATTTCTTTTCTTGTAGTGCCAGTGCCTGCGGACCTCAAGTCACGAAATTGAAAGTACATGTTAATTATTTCCACATACAAGCAACAATCACCTGCATTCATTGTGGCAGTCGATATGGACGTATTCGGTCTTGTAGGCCCGATCAGTTTTCACTGATAAGCGCATTAGTTTTCGAGTGTTACCTTGTACAATCATTTCCCCGCTCGTCGCGCCGCCTCATTTGCTGTGCATCTTGGTGTCAATCAGTTCCAATTCGAGTCCCAATTTAATTTTTTTCTCTCTCTTTTACTTTTGTTTGTGTGTGTTTGTTGTTTTGTTGACATTTCTTTCTGCCTCGTCAACGTTGCATGCAAACAATGAAATCGGTTTTTTATACACGGCTCAGTGGCTCCCCAAGGGTTGCGGAGCCGCCTGGCCAAGGGAAACAGGGTCAACATCGTCCAACTGGCGACAGTAGCATTACAAGGCGTTTGCTTTCGACTTTGCCAGTCAGTTAGCAATTCTGGGAAAGTGTCTCAGCGGCGCTTTGTTTTGCGCTGTAAGTGATATGGCCACACGGCACTGGAATGGGGTAAGTGGGACAGACTTCATTCGGTCTTCAAGTTTCTGTGACAGCCCGAAAATGCATTGACAACTATGAATTATGAAAATAAATGAATAGAAGAAAATCTTAAATAAAAACATTTTAATGGCCTTTATGTAGATCAAATCGAAATTAGAGCTAACTTTCAAACTGCAATCAAAGTGCAATACTTTTAGATTTGCAGTGCTTTTTATATAATTTGTATTGATATAAGTGATCGAATATAAATATAAATATGTTCCAATAATCGATTATTAAATTAAATAACAATTATTATAGTACAATCAAACCATAACACAACATCTTGATAAGAAATAAATGAATGATTAAAAATTAAAAATATAAAATATTGGCAATATAATAAAATATAATAAAATTTTTGCCATTAAAAATATATTAAAAACAAGTAAGAAAGCTCTAGTCGAGACTGCTCGACTACGAGATCCCCTGAACCCTTGGAGCAATAGATATTTCAATCATTTTTCGCGTCTTTCAGCTTACACAAGAAACACGCACACACACACNAAAAGATTAATTTTAGCAATTGTAAAAAAAAATTATATAATATAAATGATAGAAAAAAATCATTATGTATAATATTATTATTATCATTATGTAAAATATTTATATACGATTGAAGAAGATGAAGTTATTATCATACCTTGGATATTAAAATCATAAATCAATGATATATTTTATAACTTTTACATTCATTTTGTTAGTTTAAATATTTATAAATAAATATTTCATCTGTGTGATAATTTATGAATTTCATTTAAGTCCGAGACAAGCTTCCTCTCTGATTATTATAATTAAGTTATGAATTGAGGTCATTTTTTAATGGTTTGAGGAACTTAAACTAAGAAAAAAAAAGTTTCTATAGTTGATTCTACTTTAATTGGCTTTTTTTCGCTGAGCATCTTTTTAAGAGCTCACAGAATTTGCATTTCTAATTAGGTCAACAGCCTACATCTACCACTAGCTCTTGGCTAACGCCCAGTGCACAGTTCTAATTACATGACTTAGACGTAATTCAACCATCCACCCAACCATTCATCCATTCAACCATTCAACCTTCCATTCGGCCAGCTGGCAGCATGTCAAGCAACAATTAATTGCACGCCAAATTGTTGACTCTACCTTATGAAAACACGTCCAAAGAAAGATTGCCTTCGGGCAAAACAACAACAACGACAACAGCAACAGCAACAGCAACAGCGACAGCAACTCGTAGGAGATGGTGGCAGTCGCGTATTTAAAGTCCAATCTGCAACAATTCAATTAAGCCAATAACAAAACCAATTTGTAATGCGCTGCAACTTTTTAGCTACTGCCAGAGAGAATGGCAAATGGCGATGTGGACAGCGGCGATGGCGATGATGACGATGGCTTCAAAGTCTTGGAGGACTGCAGAGCATTGGGGAGGGAAAGCTAATGCGAAAGACAAAGGCAAAGCCACGCGTCAGCGAGGCAAATCCAATTAAAGTGGTGACAACGATGTTGCAGCCACTAAAAAAGGGCGCTGGCGGGCGAGAGGGCGTGGCAGCGGGCATAAAAATTGAATAAAGCGCAATTTCAAATGGCGCTGTGAGCCACCGAGTGGAGCGACCATCGACCGTGGAGCAATGCCACCTGCTGCTGTTGGTTTCCATTTGCAAAAGTCGACTTCAAAGCAATTGCGACATAATTAAGTTGACAACAACAGCAGCCAGAGCAGCAGCAGCAGCAACAACAACAATAAGAATAACAACATTAACCAGAACCAGCACAACAGCAGCGAACGATTGACACCAGTGACCCAGTTAAACGGGCCGGATAAAACTGGACGTGGCCACAGCTCTCGTCCAGCTCTGGCCTGGCTCTGGCTCTAGCGCTGACTACAGTTCTATATCTGTCTCTGTCCCTGTCCCTGTCTCTGTCTCCTTGACTGGCTTCAGCGGCGACTGGAAGCCGTGTGACGTCGCTGTTAAAATTGAAAATTAAAATTGTTAGACAGCGTGTCGCGCTGTCGCCTGTCGCCTGTCTCTGGCAGTTGCTCAGCATATAACGTATACGTATACCCTGCTCTTAGCCATAGAAATTGGTTTAAATTGGTATTTAAAATAGCAAAATTGATTAGAAACTGCTAAGATTTTAATAAAAACGAAATAGGTAAAATGAATATATTAAATAAAAATAAAGTAAATATTTAGTTAAATTTTGATATCAATACAGAACAAATAATTATAATAATTTACAAAAAGGCTATAATTAAAAAAAAAAAATAAATAAATAAATAAAAATAGATTAATACCGTTGCATTTTATTGGGAAAAAAAAGTTTGTATATAT